CGGGGCCACAGAGACAGGGTCAATGATTCCCAGACCGCCCAGCCGAATCGGGAGGGTGGCCTGTCGCCACAGTAAGCTCTGCTCCAGCTCCGAGTTGGGGATGCGGAGCTTTGCAGCTGTGAGCGCCGAGCCAACCAATGCCTCACTCCAGTCCCTCCACTCCTCAGCGCCCAAGGTCGTCGCCGGCGTCGTCCTCAGCATGTATGAGATGCGCCGGGATATGCTGCGGGAGATTATGAGCATGGCATGTTGCGGGTTTAGCTGAGAGACAAGGGGAAGGGGCGAGGCAGCTTCCCCCAGTGCCGCCCGGACTTGGGCAGTGCAGAAGTCGTCGCTGCCGATAGGGCTGCCAAGGACCCGTATCCCGCCCGGGTCCGCCACCAAGCCTAGTGGTAGCTCCCTGTTATCTCCGTCGTGCTCCGCTCCCCATGCCGATGACTTAGAAATGTTGCAGCGTAGTCCATATTCGGCCAAGTCGCCCGCTATCTTGGTGAAAGCACGGCACGCTGCTTCCCGTTGGCCGATAATGGTGATGTCGTCCGCGTAGGCTACCACTGCCACTTCCGGTGTAGTCGCCGAGACGCTCAAGAGGGCGGGCTGGATCGCTGCCGCGAACAAGAGAGGGCCCAAGGGATCTCCCTGTCTGACGCCACGTGTGCTCTGGATTTGGTCTACTCCCAGTCGAGCATCTACGAGCAGAGGCGATGGACCGTCGTACAGATTTCGGACCAGGGGAAGTAGCGGGCTCAGGTTGGACCACTGCTCGACACTGTTGAAGGCATTTTCGATGTCTAGCTGGAGAGCGATGCGGGTCTTTTTCTCACGGAGTAGAGAGCGGACCGTGTGGATGATGCACTCCGCACCTCCTGGAACCGCCACTCCAAACTGAACTGGTAAGAAAAAATCCCTTATCTTGGGCCCCAGGGTATGAAGCGACGCCTTCGCCACTATGCGTAGCAGGGTTTCGCCTATCGCTATGGGCCGCACTCCCCCATTCGGCTTCTCTAGAGCGATCAGACGGGAAGGCAGTAGCAATTTCCTTACGTGGGAGGCCTGGAAAGTGCTGAGCAGCCGATTTACCATCTTGGCGAAAAGCAGCAGCAGCTCCTCGTCGGCTAAGGCGGGGTCTCTGAGGTGTTCAAAACAAGTCCCAGAAGGTCCCGCTCCAACACCATTCGGGCACTTCGCCAAGATTTCGCGAAGTGAATCCGGCGAAACCGCCAGTTCAGACTCTGTGACTCCGGTAACCCACGCTGGTATCTGACTACCCGCTGCAGGGTGTTTCGCTTGCAGCGCTTCGAGTGTAGCCGGGGATGGTTCTGCTAGGGGGCACGTTCGGAGAGCTGCCACTGCTTTCGAGATATTCCCTTTTTTCACTAACCCCTCCGCTCTAGCGCAAACCCCTTCCTCGTTAGGCTGGTGCCGTACCGGGGCTCCTGTGTCGGGGATGAATCTCGCTTCCTCGAAAAGCCCAGACCACTCGCCTCGTTGGAATTTGTGCAACCTAGCTTCAATTGCAGCCCAGCGACTCCCCAAGACAGGTTCGGGCGCAGGCCTGAGGGTGAGCCTCGGAAGGAACAGCAGCACCGTCCAACCACCTGGGCAGCTGGGGTTTTTATCTAGGCGAAAGAGTGCTGCCAGCAGGCACAGACAGTATCTGTCCAGGATGTGTGGTGGCAGCCGGCGGACGAGGAATGGCTGGTCCCCTCGCTGAAGCACGTTGACATCCCACTCCCCCGCCATGTGCCAGATGGCGTCATCGCCGGCCAGGTCGGCCGGTGAAGGCACATCAGTCTCCTCCGTGGCAGGTGCTTCTCCTTCCGCTGGGTTGCTGGGAATACCCCCCGTCGCCAGTCCAGTTTGAGGTTCAGGGTTGTTCCTCCTCCTGGGTGCCTCCTCGTCTTCCAACGAGATTTCTTCCGAGGTCTCCTCCTCCCCAACCATAAATTCAGGGTCGGCCCCGGAGTTGTCAGAAACCTCCTGTCCCTCATTCGTCTGCAGGATTGCTCTCTCAGGCCTGGCGTGACGCTCCCGCCAGGGGCCAGTCCTCACGGGGATCTCCGATCTGGGTTGTTGGTTGCGCCCTCCCCGTCCGCCTCTCATCCCCCCGCGCAAAACCCCTCGTTGTCCCCGCCCAGCCGCTCCCGCCGTTTCAGCCGCTCCGTTGCCACCGCGGCCCGCCGGCATCCACGGCGTGCGGCCTCCCCGTGGTGGTCCCCAGGTTATCGCTCCCAGCCGTGCCGACCTCCTGGTCCCTACAGCCTCTACCGCTACGTTCGAGCCCGCTGCTGCCGCTGTCGTATCTGTCACTGCCGGCGCCCCATTGGTGGCGCGGACTTGGTTTCCCGGCGCCTGCGTCGGCGCGGCCTGCGTCGTTGTCTGCGCGGTGGAGGTCGCCACAGCCGCTTCGACATGAGATGGCGGCGGACGTGCTGGCCCTTGTGGCGACTGCCCTTGCAGCAGCCAGCCCAGGAGGGGTCCCGGGACGCCAGGTCCCAGCCCTGCTCCAGGCCGCCTCGGTGCTGGCTGGGCGCGGAGCTTCTTCCCGCGAGCGGCGCAAGAGGCGACGCCAGTCCCGGGAACCGGTCTACCACTCCCCGCCCGGCCGTGTCCCTGCATGTTTGCGCCCCCGGCACCAGCAGAGGTTCCGGCGGACTCAGCGGCAGGCGGCGCCGTCTCTTCGTTCGGGGGTAGTTGCTGTCGCCTCCCTGCCTCAACCACGACCGCAGCAACCTCAGCCGTCCCCAGCGGTGACGGGGATGTAGCCGACTCCGGTACCATTTGACACTCCTCCGCGGTCCCACCCCCCCCCTCAGGTAGCAGCGGTTCAGGCGGTCGCACCACAGCCGGCGAGGTTAAGCCGTCGTCAGAGGCGGCAGCAGTCTCGGCAGCGGACACTCCCCCCACCGTCCCAGCCGTTTGTGTCCCCTCCTGCGCCATCCTCGTCCCCTCAGCCGCAGCAACTGCGTCAGTCTCCTCCAGCAGCGCCGCACCCTCGGCCTCAGCAGCATCAGCAGCCGCCGCCAAACCAGTTTCCGCTGCCCCAGCCCCAGCTGCATCAGCCGCCAGCTCCCCAAGTGCAGCCGTTCCCTCCCATCCCGCCAGCCCCTCGTGCTGCCGCTGCTCCTGTTGCTGCGACGCCACTCCACGTCGAGCAGCGCGTAATGCACGTGGGGACGTGTCTGACTTTGCTGTCGTACGTCCTGGACCAGCTCCATGTGTGTTTGGCGCGCCAGAGTCTCGCCGTTGGGGGGATGGTACCGTCGGAGCACTCGGCGGCAGTGGCAGCAGCAACGGAGATGCTGCATTATCTCCCCTTGATCGGTCTTGTCCCTGGCGCACCTAGTGCAGCGCTCGGGCTCGGGCCTGGGGCAATGATGCGGCAATGGTGCAGCGCTCGGGCTCGGTCTCTCTCTCTCTCTCTCTCTCTCTCTCTCTCTCTCTCTCTCTCTCTCTCTCTCTCTCTCTCTCTCTCTCTCTCTCTCTCACGTGCACCGTGCCATGCGCACTATGGCGCAATCGCTCAAGGCCCACCCCTGCACCACGGGTGCGTGTCCCTGGCCACCGTTCCCGTTCCGCGGGCAGCCACTTGCCACGTGGCCCGGCTGGCCCAATGGAAACACGCCCCCCCGGAAGCCATGAAAGCCACCCGAGGTTGGCCCACGCTTTGGAATGAATGGCGCCGGCCTGCGAGCTCCGACGCGGTGGGCACGAGCATGTGCATTCTCCGCACGATCCATAGCCGCCACATCAGTGACCGCTTGCTTGAATGGGCGAGAGGTTTGGAGACTTTTCTGCTGATATATCTTGAAACGCTTCGCCACGCGATCGTCGGTTGTGTCTTCGACTTGGAACATCTCGTAGCGCTTCGAAATATGGTTGAGGCCGTTCACGACCATTTCGAGTTCGCACACCGTGTTGCCGTGTTGCAGCTTGTACCCCGCATGCTTCAAGTAGGCCCTCAAGTCCTCCAGGGGCTCCGCTTTCGCCCGCACGAGCGGGTCAAAGAAATTTGCCGCTGAAAAAGTGGGGTTAGTGGAAGGGAGGGGGGAAGATGTTCCATATAGGGAAAATGTGTTGCGTTGATCGGAGCCTCACCGGTGTCGTTGCCTGATTCGTCAGAGTCATTGTCGGCTGCTGCAGCTTCGAGAGCACTGGTGAACACCTCCTTGTCGTGGCGTCGCGTTGATGTTCCTTTTACACCTTTCTCGTTTTTTTCTCGTAATCTTGTTTTTAGTAGATGTAGAGGTCACCGCTGTGAAGTTTCTCGTTTGACCTTGGTCAACGCCTTGATCAACGCATTGATCAAGCCTTGGTTGGCTATCGCCATGTTCGCCACATGTGCCGAAGGGTGCTAGGGGTGCTGCTCCGCGTTTTTGTTGACCTCGAGCCCACCTAGCAGCACGTCCACAGCGGTCGGAGCGGACGTTTCACCGTCTGCCCGGCGCTTGTTGCGACGATCGCCCGGCGTTTCCCGGGCGCTGCGGTCGACGTCGGGATTAATCGGGTCGTTGACGGCGTTGTTGTTCGCGCGGTTAAGTGTCTGCGTAGCAACCATCGTCGAACGATTGTGGTTAAGGATGTTCGCAAATAAAGTAGAAGGGGAAACACCTCTGGGCAACGAGAGAGTTCTCGCCAGCTTGAGAGTTGCAAGAGCCATTTGAAAAATGAGAGACATGGGTGGAGGGAAATGAACTCCAACCCACGATTTGTAGTTGGAGAGGGCGTTTAGCATGCTTCGACGATGCCAAAATCTGTGTTGTCGGTAGCTGCGCTTTCGAAATACGTACATTAAAAAGCACTTCATGTGTTTAAAATTTTATCATAACCCAATAGGACCATCAAGCTTGGACCATTTCTTGCCAATTTTGTCGACATGGCCCCACATGTGGGGGTCCATCTGGAATCCTTAGAGCAGGATGGCGAAATCCGAGCCCCATGGTGGGAGACTCTTGTTAGATGCGGAGGTGGCGAGGATGGCGATGTGGAGGATGAGGAGAATGGAGACACAGGTCATGATTCCCTTGGACCGGATCCCTCCCGGCAGTCCGTTGGAGGCCTGTTTGAGATGCACATCTTAACCATTCTTGGGGGTAGCGACGCCTGTAGTCACCAATACACCTCCACACACGGAAACAAATACTAGGTGGGAGTGACGTGTGTCAAACTCATATGATATAGCTTGTCTAGGCTATAGTGGGGTAGACACTATGGGGTACAGTTTCCTAGGGTTTCCTACTTGTACCCAACTTTGTGCTAGTTCATTCATTCCTCAATTCTCACATGGTATAGAGCAGGTTCCCTAGTGGGAACTTCCTAGGGCCCACCACTGAACATCGAAATTTTTTTTTTCCTGCCCTGAGATCGAGTCGCTCCTGACCGAGGCGCGCCCTGTGCGCCGCCCTCCCCTTAGCGACCCGTCGCGCCGCCCTTAGCGGCCCTCCCCCTCTCTCACGGCCCCTCGCGACCCCGTCGCCGCCCTCCTTGCGGCCCCGTCGCCGCCCTCTTGCGGCCCCGACGCCGCCCTATCGCGGCCCCGTTGCCGCCCTATCGCGGCCCCGTCGCCGCCCTCTCGAGGCCTCGTCGCCTCCCTCTCGCTGCCCCGTTACCGCCGTTCGCAGCCCCGTCGTCGCGCGTAGCGGCCCTGCAGCCGCCCCTCGCGGCCTCGTGGCCGCCCTCTCGCGGCCGCGTCGCCGCCCCCTAGCGGCACCAGTCGCCGCCCTCTTGTGGCCTCGTCGCCGCCCCTCCGCGGCCCCGCTGCCGCTCCAAAGCGGCCCCGTCGCCACCCCCTAAGCCGCCCCGACGCCGCCTCCTACGCGGCCTCGACGCCGCCTCTGCCGAGCCGCCCAGCAGCAAAGCCGCCGCGCCGCCCAGCAGCCGAGCCGCCCAGCAGCCAAGCCGCCTAGCCGCCGAGCCGCCCGACAGCCGAGCCGCCCAGCACCCGAGCCGCCCAGCTGCCGGCCCGCCGAGCCGCCCAACCGCCGAGCCGCCCAGCAGCCGAGCCGCTGAGCCGCTACCAGTCCTACCGACGCGCCCCGGCCCTCCTTACTCGTACTGGTGAGCCCACTCCTTGCTAGACCTCTGCAGTCATGGCTACCCCCAGTGTTCTTACCTTTGACACTAAGGGCCGTGCTGTTGACTTTGAGGTCTGGGTCGATGACCTCTAGCTGTTCCTCCAGTGCGATAGGGCACACGGCCTCTCTCTGTTCGACCTCACCTCTGGTGCCTCCCCCGCCCCGCCTGCTACTGCTGACAGCACTGTTCGCTCACAGTGGGCGACACGCGATGTTGCTGCCCGTCTTGTTGTGCGTCGCCACTTACCGACCACTGAGCGTGCACACTTTAGCCAGTACAAGAGTGCTCAGACCTTGTACGACGCTGTAGTTGCACGCTACTCTTCTCCTGCCACTGCTGCACTGAGCCGCCTCATGCTACCGTACCTCTTCCCTGACCTTGCTGCCTTTCCCACAGTCGCTGACCTCAATACGCACCTCCGCACAAGTGACACTCGCTACCGCGCTGCACTTCCTGCTGAGTTCTGCGCCAAGAACCCCCCCCCCATGTACATCACCCTCTACTACATAGTCACCCGGCTCCCTGACTCTCTCCGCGTAAACAGGGACCACTTCCTCTCAGTTTGCCCCACCACTCTCACCGTTGACCTCCCCGAGAAGGGCCTCCTAGCAGCAGAGACGAGCATAGTCACTGTAGGAGCCTCTCGTGGTGACCCTCGCACCCCCGTCTTTGAGGGGTGTTCCCCCTCCCCCCTCTTGCCCTCTGTTGCGTCTGCTGCTGCTGCCGACCTCGTTGGTTTCTACGGGGTCGGCGCTGGGTCTGCCCCTAGCGGGAGACGCCGCACCGGCAAGGGCAAGGGTGCTGGAGGGGCTAGCGGGGGTGGTGGAGGTGGTGGTGGAGGCAGTGAAGGGGGTGGGGGTGGTGGTAGGAGTGGTGGCGGGGGTGGCGGCGGCGGTGGCAGCAGTGGAGGCGGCGGAGGCAGCGGTGGTGGCGGAGGGAGCAGAGGCTGCGGAGGTGGCGGAGGCGGCGGAGGTGGCGGAGGCGGCGGAGGCGGTGGCGGTGGAGCTGGTCGCGACTCTGCCCAGAGGATTGGGTCCGGTGGTGGTCCGCGCCAGCAGCAGCAGTGCGGTCGTGAGACCCTGTCCCCTCAGCAGCTTCGTGAGTGGTACGCTGCGCGTCAACGCGGTGGGGGTACTGGTCCCTACACTTACGTCCTCCGTAACGGCGACCGCGCTGGTGAGCAGTGCGGGGGCCTGCACTCCACCCAGCGCTGCTTCGGCCGCCTGACGGACGCGTGGCGTCACCAGTTCCCTGAGGCGTCAGAAATCCCTCGCTGGGGAGATCTGTCTAGGGCGGGGGTTGCCATCTTTGATCTTGACCATGATGCTATCCTTGCTGCCATGTATGTTGTGATTACTAGTTTTGAGGGTGACTGTTACCTGTGTGTACCGCCTGACCCGGGCATTGAGGCTACTGCTCTAGGTGCTGGTGAGGCTGCTGCTCTAGGTGCTAGTGCGTCTGCTGCCTCAGGTGCTAGTGCGTCTGCTGCCCCAGGTGCAGGTGAGTCTGCTCTCTCAGGTACTACGTCCGCTCAGGCCTTACACACCTTCACCCTTGACTCGGGTGCGTCCCGCTCCTTCTTTCGAGACCGCACCACGCTTACGCCGCTCAGTCGGCCGGTTGCAGTCTCCCTCGCGGACCCCTCTGTGGGTCCTGTCCTTGCTAGCTTCTCCACTGTCTTACCGTGCCCGGCAGCCCCCTCTGGCACCCTGTCAGGTCTCTACGAACTTGGTGAGTGGAGCGGACCTACAAGATAGGAGGGTTGACCGGTTCACTCCTGCGAGTCAGCGGGTTACCCACTGCACGTGTGCTCAGACAGGCCGACACTTGGCCACGTTCACCCGTCGGCCAGGGTCGTGTCCTTGTCTCTGGTCTCCCCCGGTCTCTCCCTCCCCTACCTCCAAGGGCTGGCCCTACCTGCGTCCCCTGCGTTGAGGGGCGACAGCGCGCCGCCCCTCACTCCTCCGAGTTTCCTCCGAGAGAGGCTCCGCTGCAGACTCTCCACATGGACGTGTGGGGCCCCGCCCGCATCCGTGGACAGGGGCACGAGCGTTACTTCCTGTTGGTGGTTGACGACTACTCGCGTTACACCATAGTCTTCCCCTTGCACAGCAAGGGTGACGTCACTGAGGTGTTGATCGACTGGATCCGCGCAGCTCGTCTCTAGCTCAGGGAGAGTTTCGGCTCGGACTTTCCTGTTCTGCGTCTGCACTCTGACAGAGGTGGGGAGTTTTCCTCTGCCCGTCTGGGAGCCTTCTGTCGGGCACAGGGCATCCGCCAGACCTTCACGCTTCCGGCCTCTCCACAGCAAAATGGGATTGCTGAGCGCCGCATTGGCATGGTCATGGACGTCGCTCGTACGTCCATGATGCATGCGGCTGCCCCCCATTTTCTGTGGCCGTTTGCGGTTCAGTACGCAGCGCTTCAGCTCAACCTTCAGCCCCGGGTCTCCTTGCCAGAGACCCCCCCCCACCTTGCGGTGGACGGGGAAGGTTGGCGATGCGTCTGCATTTCGGGTCTTGGGATCTCGGGCATTTGTCCGCGACTTGTCTGCGGACAAGCTGTCCCCCCGTGCTGTTCCCTGCGTCTTCCTTGGCTTCCCCCCTGACGCGCCTGGTTGGCAGTTTTACCACCCCACCTCGCGCCGTGTTCTCTCCTCCCAGGACGTCACCTTTGACGAGTCGGTGCCTTACTACCATCTCTTCCCCTACCGCACTGCGCCCCTCCCCCCGCCGCCGCTCTTCCTTACACCAGGTCCTCCCCCGGTAGACCCCCTCCCCCCTCAGGGTCCTGCCCCGTCAGGTGTGTCCCAGGTAGACGCAGTCGAGCCTGTCGAGATAGCTGTTGACTCTGGTGCGGTTAGAGCTGCTGAGCCTGCGCGTGCCGGGTCTGGAGGTGTTGAGTCAGGGGGTGCTGAGCCTGGGGGTGCTCAGTCTTGGGGTGCTGTGCCTGGGGGTGCTGAGCCTGGGGGTGCTGACTCTGGGGGTGCGGAGCCTGCGGGTGCGGAGCCTGGGGGCGCTGGGTCTGCTAGTGTGGCCGGCGGCGGTGCTTCGTCCAGGCGGGAGCCACTACGAAGGCAAAATGAACCTTACATCTTGTAGACAGTCATCGGCATGTCTCTATATAGTGGGGACGTGTGAGAGTTGCGGCAGATTTTTACCATAGTGCTCCACCATAGGCAAAGTGGGGGAGAACAAGAGGTCACAAGACCAGTCAAGCAAAGCAAAGCAAGCTCAGGGTGGATCACAACATCACCACACAATCCGAGCACAAGAGCAAGGCCAAAAGGCCAGTTCACATGCAAGATCATACATAAAGGTAAACAGGCAAGTGCAGATATAGAAAGATCACAGTACAAGCAAGGTCAAGAAGTGAGCAAGTGAGGCCAAATAGGCAGAAGACTTAGCATCGTACAGAAGCGCTGATGATTACCAGGCGGAAGTGCTTTGGTATAGATATTAGCAGTGTTGGCCTCAGAGGCCACGTAAGCAAGGCGCAGCTGACCACGCTGCTGCAGCTCATGAGCAAGGAAGTAGCGAAGAGCAATGTGCTTCGTTCTGTGTTCCAGTCTGTGCTCCCGACACAAGGCCAGCATGGCCTTGTTGTCTACGTACAGAACTGGAGGAGAACGAGGCGGCTCTCCTAGGTCAGTCAGCAGGTAGGTGAGCCAGCGTAGCTCCTGTGCAGCCATGGCCCCCGCGTAGATCTCAGCCTCACAGCCGGAGCCGAGAACAGAAGTCGAGCGGGTAGACTGCCACGAAACAGAGCCGGACCCAAGGCTGAAGGTGTAACCCTGTGACGACCGCTGCGTAGCCTGGTCGTCAGCCCAAGAAGCGTCTGCGTGACCTGTGAGGATCACTCGACGTCGCCCTCCAAGCACTAGCCCCATGCCCGACGTACTGCACAAGTAGCGCAACACCCTCTTCGCTGCAGCCATGTGCTCTAGTCGGTGTCTCCCAGGAGCAACATAGCGTGCCAAGATGCTAAGAGGGTATGCAAGGTCAGGTCGTGTGCAGGTCATCAGGTACATGAGGCAGCCAACAAGCTCTGGGTACGGGCCACTCAGCTCTACGGACTCATTTGAAGGCAGAGCTGAGAGCGAGTGGCGAGTAGACAGAGGAGTGGCCTGAGGCGAGGAGTACGTGAAGCCGAAGCGCTGAAGGACCTGCTGCACCATGTGTGACTGAGTCAGGGTAATGGTGCGCTGTGCTCTGTCCCGGGTGATCTGCAAGCCAAGGTAGCTGCGCAGTTCACCCAGGTCTGTGCACGTGTGTCTCTTCTGCAGCTCGGACTTCACGTGGGCGAGTCCAGCAGTGTCATCAGTGGCAAAGACCAAGTCATCAACGTACACGAGGATGTAGAACGGCGGCAAAGAGGTGTCGGTGCGCAGAAACAACGACGGGTCGGCTGTAGAAGGAGAAAACCTAAGAGCCGCAAGTGTAGTCCTTAGTGTGTCGTGCCACTCATGGGGCGCCTAGCAGAGACCGTAGACTGGCCGCCGGAGGCTCCACTGGGTACCAGGAGGAAACGACCCAGTGAAGCCAGGTGGGCGGCGCAGCCAGATCTCCTCGTGCAGGCTGCCCTGCAGGAAAGTTGTGCTCAAGTCAAGAGAGTGAAGCTCGTAGTCGCGCTGAGCGGCTATGTGCAGCAGCACCCGAAGAGTGGTCATCTTCGGGGTGGGAGAGAAGGTCTGAAAGTAGTCAACTCCCTGCCACTGACTGAAGCCTCGAGCCACGTAACGCGCCATGAAGACAGGCGGAGAACCCGGCAGCCGCTTCACCCTGAAAATCCACATGCCACTGACGATGTTCGCCCCAGGTGGGGGAACCTCGTCGACGTAGGTGCCTGTGGACTTCCAGGAAGCCATCTCTGCGTCCATGGCTGACTGCCACTGAGAGGAGTAGGGACCCTCGATCGCCTTAGCGTACGATCGAATAGTCAAGATGTCTGGTGCATCCAGGTCTCCCTCAGGGGCAATCAGCGTGGACACGAGATGAGGCAAAGCAGCAGCAAAACACTGGAACTCCTCCTGCCTGTCCTCAAGGACGTCCGTGCTAAGAGCACACTCACCCCCGACGGACGGAGGACAGACAGACTCAGACTCAGCAACGAGACTAGCGGTGTAGTCTAGACGACAGCGAGCAGCAAAGTCGACAAGCTCAGCAACTAAGGCAGACGCAGTTGTGGACTCAAAGGAAGGGTTAGTGACAACAGGAGCCCGGAGACGCATGATAGTAGGACTGGCAGCACGAAGAGAGTCAGACTCCGGGTCAGCAAGAACAGGAAGAGAGGACTCTGGAGGAGACGGCAACGGGACACGCAGAGGAGTAGTGGAAGGACGCAGTGCCATCTGGTATGTGCGAAGGACCGCAGGAGGACGCGGACGCGGAGCACGACCACTAGTGCGAGGAGCACGAACAAGCGACGCAGGATGAGACGAAGGCTTACGACGCTCAGCAAGACCTCCAGTAGGACCAGTGTAGGGAGAAGGAGCAGGCAGGGGGGAGGCGGGCTGTAACTGTAACCGCGATTTGACAGGCTGTGGACACTCTAAGGGAGGAGCAGGGCCAGTAGAGGGCGGGAGACCAAGAACCTGCTCAAGGAGCGGAACGAAGTACGGCCGCGTCCGTCAGCGCCTCCAGAACCAGGAGGGACAGCACCTGTACGCCCAGCGGCAGCACCAGCGCCAGCAGCACCTCCAGCTCCAACAGCGCCAACTCCAGCACCCTCAGAAGCACCAGCGCCAGCAGAACCACCAGCGCCAACACCCCCAGCAGCTCCAGCTCCAGGAGCTCCCGCAGCACCAACACCAGCAGGACCCTCAGCTCCAGTACCGCCAGCAGCTCCAGCAGTACCTCCAGCATAACTAACTTCAGCAGCCCCAGCAGCACCCCCAGTCCCAGCAGCTCCAGTAGCCCCAGTACGAGCACCTCCAGGACCAGCAGCAACATTTGTACCTCCAGCTCCAGCAGCACGGCTCCAGCTCCGGGCAAACCACTCGCGCAGCTCCTGTAGAGAGAGTAGCTCCCGCCTCGACGAAGCACCGCGAGAGGCCACACGAGCAGACCCAGCACCCCTAGGCTCCGCACCCCCAGGCTCAGCACCCCCAGGCTTAGCACCCCCAGACTCAGCACCCCCAGGCTCAGCACCCCTAGAGCCGGCACCCGCAGGCTCAGCACCTCAAGCAGCACCAGAGTCAACAGCTACCTCGACAGGCTTGACTGGGTCTACCTGCGACACACCTGACGGGGCAGGACCCTCAGGGGGGAGGGGGTCTACCGGGGAGGACCTGGCGCAAGGAAGAGCGGCGGCGGGGGGAGGGGCGCAGTGCGGTAGGGGAAGAGACGGTAGTAAGGCACCGACTCGTCAAAGGTGACGTCCTGGGAGGACAGAACACGGCGCGAGGTGGGGTGGTAAAACTGCCAACCAGGCGCGTCAGGGGGGAAGCCAAGGAAGACGCAGGGAACAGCACGGAGGGACAGCTTGTCCGCAGACAAGTCGCGGACAAACGCCCGAGATCCCTAGACCCGAAACGCAGAAGCATCGCCAACCTTCCCCGTCCACCGCAACGTGGGGGAGGTCTCTAGCAAGGAGACCCGGGGCTGAAGGTTGAGCTGATGCGCTGCGTACTGAACCGCAAACGGCCACAGAAAATGGGGGGCAGCCGCATGGATCATGGACGTACGAGCGACGTCCATGACCATGCGAATGCGGCGCTCAGCAATCCCATTTTGTTGTGGAGAGGCCGGAAGCGTGA